ACAACTGTCAGGACAAGCATCTGTAGTATAAATACTGCTTTAAACCATTTAAAAAGGTCTTGCAAATCAATGGATTTACCTTCTAATATGTATGTAAATGTATGCATTTGTGACTGTATATTAGGGTCTACTGTTCATTAGTGGTGCTTTTTCCCTTCACTGCTTGCTGTACTGTTCACTGTGTTGTGCCTGGGGACGTTTCAATAACAGCCATGGTGATGCTTCTGGGCTGGCAGGTGACCAGAGTCCTGCTGCTGTGTCTGTGCTGCTGTACTGGACAGGGTGGAACTCTGGTGTGAACTTGAGTTGAAGGGACTGTGACATACGGATGAGTCCATAATGGAGCAGAAATCCACCTGTAGCCTGCGGAGGACCACAGACCAGAGCAGGTGGATGCCTGAAGGATGATGTGACCCCCCTGAGAAGCCCATGCTGGAGCAGGTTTGCTGACAGGACCTGTGACCCCATGGGGGAGCCATACTGGGGCAGTTTATGAAGCGCTGCAGCCCATGGGAAGGATCCAGGTTGGAAAAGTTCAAGGAGGACTATCTCTCGTGGGTGGGACCCCATGCTGGAGCAGGGGAAGCAAAGATTCCCTTGCAGCCTTTGGTGCAGACCATGGTGAAGCAGGCTGTCCCCCTGCAGCCCGTGGAGGACTGTGATGTACTATACTAATGGTGGATTTTAGCAGGAAACCCTGCTGCAGGCTGGAAACAAGGGGAGGACTTCATCACAATGTTAAGTCCTATAACCTGGCACAAAAGGACTAGGGTTGGAGATTGTAATTAATGTGCCTTTAAATTATGGTAACCCATGATTTGAGTTGCATGTTACAGGAATTGCTACAGCAGAAACCACCAAACCAATAGAGGAGAAGCCTTAAAAAAGAAGTATAAGTGCATCAGTGACCAGATCTGAGCCGGCTTTGGTGCCCAGTAACTCCAAGAAGCAGACTCCACTCCCCATGGGTTGTTCTTTTGAATAAACATCCTTTTTAGCTTTTCTTCTGTTACTTCTCACACTCCCAATAAACACTGTCAAGCATTAATCATTAAAAAACTTCTCTGCTGCAATATGAATCTTTTACAGTTGAGATACCAGCACCTTAAGAGCTTTTAAGTATAATTTAACTTGTTCTCCTCATCCATCTGTATTGAATTAGTGTATTTCATATTTTAATAATAATTTCTCTAGGGCAAGAACTATCTTTTTGTTATCTGTTCAGGTCATGCTTAACACCCAGACTTTAGCTTATAATAGAGCCCTCCTAGCCCTCTTATAATAGAGCCCTCCTAGCCCTCTTATAATAGAGCCCTCCTAGCCCTAGCGCAATAAATCAACATTTAGGATTCACTGAAATCCATCTTAAGGAATAGTACAGCCTGGATTGACATTTGCAGTACCAAAATATTTTGACAAGCCATTTCAGTTTTACCAACTTTAGCTGTAAATGTAGATAGTTCTCATATTAGATTCCACCTTTAACAACAACAAGAACGACAGAAACCACCACCAAACTGAGCTGATTGATTTCTAAAACTGAAACTGGAAGAAAAGGCACTGATCACTAAAAATAAAGACAGATGCATTGTAGGAGGCGTGTCCCAGGGGCAAGGGAATCAAGGGACATGCACAGGGACAGACAACCCCATTTCAGAGATCTATAGCCACGTAGCCTTCTAACCTGCCAGGAGTCATCTTCCTGGGAAGAGAACTGTTTGTCATCACTGTTAAAATCGCACCATATCAAGTAAAAGTATTGACTCTTGGATGGAAGAAAGCAGTTTGCTCACAGTACAGATGTGCTGGAGCTTTCACCAGCCAGGTCCTCATACTGATGCTTAAACCCTGTGCAGTCACCTGCGACAGAGTTTCACGAGAGACCTGGTCACAGAGCAACCCACTTCACTGCTCATGGGTGCTGTGGGTCAAGGGATGTGGATGTCAAAAAAGCTGCTGCTTCACTGTCCCAGTTTGCTTCTTGGTGCACTCCCAACAGTAGGAAAGGAATAAGTGACAAAAGCTTTGCCAAGATGGCAGGACCGGAATCAGACTGGGGAAATGGGGCTAGGTCTGGAGTTTAGTAGTGAACAGAGAAATATCTGATTGGACACTGGGAGTCAAGAAACAGAAGAAAAGGCTGAGGGGAGAGAATAAATCACCTGCCAGTGCCTCTGTCAAGTCTTTTCCCCACGCTAGAATGTATGGAGGAGCAGGGAGGTCAAAGTGACCAAAAGAAAGCTTTGAGGGAGAAGGAGACAGGGACAGACTGTACCAGGAAACACAATGAGAAGCAGTGTGTGTGTGAAGGGGCTTTGACAATGAACTGGGAAAGAGTTTGGACCTGCTGGCAAGGACCAGAGTAAAGTACAAATAAAGGAAGAAGATGTCTCAGCATGGGACTTGGGATACTTTTTTCCCTAAAAAAAATAAGCCGGTCAGAATCAAAAACATTAAAATCAATTAGAGAAATTTGAGTTTACCAAATCAAGTATTCAAGGGCCAGGAAATATTTGACTTAAGACTGTCCCTGAAATCTAAGTGTGGAGATTAGAAGATTAGAAGACATTCTAAAATAAGATCTAATAGGAAGAATATTGTAATCTGCATAAATGTAGGAAGTAACATTCCCCTTTCTGACAAACAGTAGACATCACCTTTGGTTACTGGAAAGGAGGTGTCAAAACACCTTCATCGTAGAAGAGCAGGTCAGGGCTTTGGGTCCATCAGGAGGGCAGAAGAGCAAAACTTGGGATTCAAAAAAATCCTACTCTGTCAGAACGAAGAATAGATGCTAAATCATGTAAGAGCATGATTCGGTTTTGGTTTTATTTTTTCATAAGAGAATTTGAAGCTCTAATGAAAAACAAGCCAATCTGAAGAGCATATCAGCTTATTTTAGTTACTCCGGTGTTTTAGCTGTTTTTTCCTTTGAGTTTTCAGCAGTTGTTGTTCATGCCAATCTCTTATTTCACACATGACTTGGAGTAAAATCCTGAGTATCTTTTCCAGCCTGCTGGGCTAGATGAGGGACCTGCCCTCTCTTTCCTGAGCCACACACAATAGAGTGCCCTTGCAACTAGTATGTTTTTCCCTGGTGGAGGACAGTCAAGAACCCATTTAGTCACAGATGTCATGCCCTACCTGAATTCTCCAGAAGATGCTGCATTACAAATGCCCATCATGCTAAGCAAGAGAAAATATTAGCAAAGGTCTCCTCCAAAGGAGGAGTGAATTCCATCTTCTTTCTATCTTTTTTTTTTTTTTTCTGTTGTAAAAAAGGAACAGTCTTGCTGGAGATGTTCACTCTGCAGGTGCTCACAAAGAACCAAGATCTGACCCATTCTTGAGCCTCACCTTGGTTAGTAGGTTTGGCTTGAACAGATCCATCTGCCTCTCAGGATCAATCCATGGACAGCAATGCATCTGTTGTGGTTTTGGCTGGGATAGAGTTAGTTTTCTTCCTAGTGGCTGGTACAGTACTGTGTTTAGTTTTGAGAATAGTATTGATACTGTACTGATCACAGCCTACAGACAGGCAGGGCATTGGTCAAAAGTCATGAGCAACTGTATTATGCAGCACTTGTTTTTCTTGAGGTTTATTACTCTCTCTCTCTCTCTC